CTTGAGTGCTCACTGGAAGGACACATCCTGAAGCTGAGGCTCCAATACTTTGGCCATCTCATGAGAAGAGAAGACTCCCTGGAAAAGACTCTGATGTTGGGTATGTGTGAAGGCAAGAGAAGAAGGGGATGACAGAGGATGAGATGGTTGGACAGTGTCACAGAAGCTACTAACATTTGACCCAACTCCGGGAGGTAGTGGAAAACAGGAGGGTCTGGTGTGCTCTGGTCCATGGGGTCATGAAGAGTCGGACACGGCTTAATGACTAAACAACAACAACGTAGTGCCGTTCTACACATACCAGAGTAGTATGGCATAAATGTATCAAATTAGTTGTCACTTTTAAACATATTTTAAGGCCCTTCTGTGTTCCAGGCATTGGTCCTATTCCTAAGTAAGATCAACCCCTCTTTTATGATGGTAAGTCTTAATGGTTGCAATGAAAGAGTATCACAGTACATTATGTGGTGCTGCAGAAGAACACATGAATGGGCTAGTACTGTATTCTGCAATCCAGCTCTGAAATAGTGCTTCATGGCTGTTAGGTTAAAAGACGCAAGTGTTACAAAGGCAGTCTATGTACTGGCCTTATATGTAATAGTTTGGCAGTCTCAATTGGTGCAATAAAATCAATGATGAGACTTACATAGCTAAGGCTGCCATGGGACAAAACTAACGTCGTTCACTGGCCAAGTAGGACAAGGTCTCAGCCAACTGACTCAGTATGTTGTACGAATGGTATATGAGACATTTACATAGCATAGCCTTTTCCAATAACAGGATAAATCAGGGTCAGTTCATGAGTTTATTTTTTTCCCCTCACATTAGCATATTAACATGTAAACCAGGAATTAAGAATTTCAGCTCTAGCAGCTTTCACCACAATCAAAGAGGCAAAATCTCCTATCCAAATTGCAAAGGTTGCTATAAGAGAAAACAATTTACATTTGGCTCATGCCTCTCAGGGTGTTTCTGGTTGGAGGGTTTTTTTTTACCATAATCACCCAAGTTTAATTCATGGAATATTACAGCATGCTGAGAGACTGTGGTATGTCTATATGAAGTCATCTTCCACTCGTAACTTTGTTTTCCCACTGCTTCCTCTGTCTTTCACTTTCCATCCAAAGAAACATTAAGGAGTAAAAGAACAGCTGCACAATGGATTTGAATGGTAGCACGAGAAGCTTCCCACCTAGAGACACTCTTAGTCACTCTACCAAGTGTTCTCTTTTTAAATCAGGTTAAATTACAGCGAGAAATTAGTTCTTACTCCTGTTGTTACCTGGACTAGAAATCCATCAAGGAGGACATCTAGTTAGGCCAATAATAAAAATGCTTAGAACCTTGGTAAATTTTATACCAGCATTTTAGACACAACAGATGCAACAGCACTAATAATTACCAGTACCATCAACAAACATTTTGTAATTGTAATTGACCAGTCAAGTTGCTAAAACAGGTAGAGGCAAAAGGCTCTGTGGTAAACAAAGAAAGTGTATGTGGATGCAACCTCACAAAAGGAAGTAACAAAATGTTTTGAACTGCTGCATGTTTTATTTATACTTACTTATTTTACCCTTCCTTTCTACTTTAGCCCATATAAAGTTGGCTTAGAAAGGAAAAGACAAAGGTCTCTATCTAATTACTAGTCTCAGATTGAGAAGACCCATTGGCTGAAACCCTGTTAAACATCATCATCTTAAAACTACAACAGACCCTATTAATCACTGAGTTCAGCCCGTCAAGGAGGCACAGTGGGGAATCAAACTCCCAACATATAGTTCCACAGCCAGATATCTGAACTGAGCTATCCAGCAGTTCCTGCCAAACGTTACAGTATGCAAGGCTGATAATGTCATGGCAATTGTTCAAGAATTTAAAATGCCTGATTCCTCTCACAGGTCTCAAGGCTCCTTGGGACTTCTGTCATCATGGAGAAGCTGCTGGAGGCCACAGATGGAGGGACAGTAATAGCACAGTTCAGAATTTAAAGACCTCTCCCATCCCACAGATCCCAAAGGCTTACCTAGGATGAAAAGGATCCCAATGAAGCTGGGAAATGTTTAATTCCTTAAAAAATTCAGCAGCTGATGATAATATTAGTTACACGGTATCAGTTCTGCTATTTTATTTCAGCCAGCGAATCAATGAGATTTGCACAAGTCACTGACTTACCAAAATCCCACTAGCTCAATAGGTATACTTTTTTGTCAATAGGTAAACTATTGGGTTTAGACCAGAATTCCTTTTTACAGTAATTATTTGGCCCCCGAAGAGAGAACAAGAAAACTGGTTTCCTTTTGAGATGGTTTGATCTATGCATTTGACATAGATGAAAATCTCAGTTTCTTGCACTGGAGAAATGGCTCACAGCAAAAGTCACAGAAAGCCTGTCTGGTTCAACTGTAGAAATCATTGATTCACTCGCTTTATAGCCTTTTGGTTCCATGAATTAAGAGTTGCTTGCATGCTTCCCTTGAGCCTTACCAGCTTTAAGGATTTGCAAGCTCTGCTTGTTTCAGCAATACAGCAAGTAAGGTTCTTGATCTGGTGCTTACACTGAAGGATCCCTGTGGCTTGGGAACTCTTTTCCCAGGTGAAATTACCGACTTTGTTTGCAGCCTGTCCCCCCCCCCCGCAAAAGACAATCTTAGCTTATTTCTTTGCAACTGAGAGCACTATGGCCCCAAAAGCAGCATGTTCACTTGGACTGTGCTCAGGATGTCGGTACGCTGGTATACTCTGAAAACATGTGGAAATAACTGTGTTCCTAACGTGCCTTTGCCTATACTAAAATTACTGACAAAGTCTCAACAACATGGTTTTAGTATTTTATCTTCAAATTAAGTTTTAAGGCAAAATGCAGCTTGCAGCAAATAGGGCAGTATATTTTTCAGGCCCGCAGGAAAATGCCAAAATGTGTCTGAGTGTGCACATACATACTGTATGTGCATTTATTTGCATGCACATGTGTGTATGTTGTAATAAAATAGCTTTTGGGTTACATCAAAGATGGAACTAAACTCTTAGTTCGGGTTTTTTTTCCCCCACACTGGAAATGTCAAAGGTGGCATTATAACAGATATTGGTACAAGTGCTGTTCTCAGCTTTTCTTCCTCCTTGAATCTAACAGAAGTTGAAAGAACCAATATTTATGCCCAGGAAAGGGTAATTGACAATAGGGTCAAAACTGTGTTCTCAAAGCTTCACTTCTAAGTTCTTCAAAGCAGCTGGCTGTGGCTGTTAATTTGCCCCAGATTTTGAATGTGGTGGTGATGCTCAGGTCCAATCCTGCATACAGTAGAGACTGGGCATTATTTTTCCTTATCACTAGTCAACATACATTGATGGTAGCTTGAGAGACCTTAAAATAACAGTGTCATTTTATATAAAATAAGAAAAGGCTATACTTCATGTTTTTATGCAATTATTAGTATAAAATAGAAACCAATGAATGGAGCTGGGCTACAAATTTAGCATAGTATAACAGGAGCCTCCCGTGATGCTAAGCCTCATAGAAAATAAACATCCCTATGACTAATATTATCACAATTTAACTTCCTTGCTTTTGATCAATAATGCAATGTGAGATGTTCATTATACATTTTCTCCCTCTCTCATTCTTTTCAACACTGTTCAGATTTGAACAATGTTCAAATTTCTTTTTCAACAGTTCAAATTTGATTATTTTTATGTTACAAAAATTTCCATAGAAGAGAAGCACCAAGAGTCTACACCAATCTCTATACCAAACCACAAATATTTTTTAATGTTCATCTTGAATTGCAACAACCTGGGAAACAAATTAACGATATAAATACCTGTAACACTGCTCTCTGAAACATCCTGTGTTGTAACCCTTTTAACAGACTGCAATCACTAAATCCGAACATCTCCAAAGTACTATTAAGGAAAACATCTGTTTCTAATTAAATGACCTAAAAATAGAACTGGGTAGATATCTCATAAATTAAGATATTTGTATCTACTCAATTAACACATATGTATAGATCTAAGAAAATGTCCTTTTGGTGGATGCCTGTATTTTAAAAAAGTGGAAATCATCTCTTTTGTCTCTCAAGTGGAAAACACTAACAAAGACAAATTCAAGTTCGTAATGAAAAATCACTACACATATACACTAAGACCTATCTTTTAAAGGACAAATACTACAAAATCATATTGTTCTATTAAGGCTCTAGTCCTCCCCACATTTACCTTAGTGCAAGCACACCTGAACACAATGGGGCTTATTTCCCACTGAGCATAGACAGGGTTGTATATGTTAAAGGACTGTAACTGTATGATAAAAGAATACAATTGGCTAAGCCTTGCTTTTTGTCAGACAGCAAAATGAATTGGAACAGATTTGTTCATTCACTTATACTTCAGTGCATTTTTGTTTTATTTGCACATTGACATGAGCATTATTTTTAGGATAGCATTATTAAGCAAACTGAAAGAGAACAAAGCAAAGTAATCTTGAAATCTGTATCTTCCACAAAATGATGAAGTTGAAAAATTGTGTTTTTCCCTTCACACAAACAGCAAAGAGGACAATACAACCAAGTAGCTTCAAACAAGCAGTCTTTTAGCTGGGTAAGGACATGCCACCCAGCACTTCTAAAGCCCACCCCAACCATAAAAAACAAACCAACATAATGAGAGAGAAAAAACTAACTTTGGGCCAAATTCTGTTCACATTTGCCTTTTATGCAATGGCCCATTTTTACAAGGACATATCTGGTCAAAAAGCAGGATTCTGCCCTTTGAGTAATATTTTATCTACACATTAAAAAAAAAGTGCTACTTTGAACAGACAGATAAACCCAATTACTATTACAAGTAGTAATCATCGTTCATGGCAGAAATACAAATAGTGACATGTATATTTAGAAACACATAATTAGATTATAAAAGATGACTACAGTTCTGCATAGTGCACAGCAGAACTGTATGCTCTGAAACTACATAAAAATAACAGTCAAAAGAAGACATACCTGTAAATAAAAATCCTTCATTGGCTTCCATTGTTTACCAATCAGGAAATAAGGGATCACTATTCCATAATGCTCGGGTTGGTTGGTTGAAGTCCCTTGCCTAGAGAATTCCAATTTACTTTTTTCATCCCCTGGGATAAAATTAAGAAGTGTTTCATGTTAGTAAATGCACAGCACAAAGTGAACAGAGTATTACTAACTGATTTAAGCTGAAAATGTGACAGTGATAGGTTATTTTGCTTTTCCCCCACTAAACCTTTCTGTAAACAGGAACTTATTACAAGACATAATTACTAAGCATTCATATGATCTATCTGCATTTTCATTTTGTACTGAGTCAGTTTCGGAAAAAGAACTGGAAGTCCTGGGTTCCATGACACATAGAAACCAACAAGATCCATACAATAAAAATCATAAAATACTATAATGTTATTTGCATTGCTTTGTTCAGATCTACTAATTTTGCACATGCACACTAACATCTTAGATTCAAGCACTCACATTTATTTTGTGCAATAAGCTGAAGAGCTTTAATCTCAGACTTATTTTGATTATGTAAATATTTTGCACATACTTTTACAATTTGTATTTCCATGAGTTGAAATTTACAAGTTGAGCTCCATTTAACAAGCTATCACAATTTTTTCAAAAGAATTAATTCTCAATTATCTTGATGCCTTCAAAATCTTGTATCCAGAACATGCAAGTTTAGATCCCTAGGTTTCCAAGATGCATATTAGTCAAAGAACAATTTCAAAGAAAGAGAATGCAAGCCCTGATTGGGTTAACACCGTATGCTCTGTCGATCCAAATTAGTTAAATTAATATGGTCATGTAAAAAAAAAAAGCTGTATGAACATTTTCTCTACATGAATTTTAGAAACCAATGTTATTAAGCATTATTCTTGTACTCATTAGATTTATACCCTGCACCATCTGGCAGCCAGGCCAGATGTATTTTGTTCATCACAGTAATCATAATGTGCTTATCACATGAACAGGTTTAGCCCATACAACCAAGAAATAAGTGGTTCTGTGGGTATCCATTTGCTCACTTCAGGCCTGTTCAAAACAAAATTGTCATTTTATTTAGTCAGATTTTAAAAGAACAAATAAGCATGTGCTTCATTCTTTCAAAAGTGAAAGGAACTTCAAAATGATTAACCTGAGTTAGACAGCAGCTCCAGTTTCCAACTCTGTATTTTAGAGTTTTGTACAATTCAATTTGTGAACTGTCACATTCTAATTTTTTTTCCAAAACTGAAAAAAAAGATTGCTGTTTACAAAACAGAACTCATTTTAGAATTTCCGGAAAAGGTAACTGTGTTAGTCTGTGCAAGCACATTAGGCAAAATCGAAAGAAACAAAAGAAAAGAAAACAAGACAAAAGCACGTGATACTTTAAAGACTAACTATTATATTTTAATGTGAAATTTCATGGACACGTCCACTTCATCAGACATATGAAAACAGAATGAAAAGGTGAAGTAATATCAGTTTCATACTAAATATTCATTGAATCTTGGGTATATGTTACAATTACATTCAGTAGTTTATGACTTACATTGTTTTAGGGCTCCATTGTAAAAGTTCCTCAGGAGACAAAAAACAGACATCAGACTTAGGCAAACATAAGGGAAGAGAGAGAAGAGAGAGGATGGGTGTGGGGGGAGTGTTGAAGATTGGAGATTCACTTAACACTCAAGAAGGAGAGAAAAAAAATATTAAATACAAAGGTGACAGAAGGAATCATGTGTGTTAATACAGTATAGGGAATATCGACAATTTTTACTGTTGAGTCTTGTGATGAGAGATGGGCTTGGTAGTTGTGAAGAAAATAACACTGGCAGTAGATAACAGCAGAAATAGTACATATGGTAATGACTTAAGAAACCTAGGCTTATACAGTATTCAACCCATTTCTATGGGTGGCCATCATGCATATAAATTTTATTTCAGCTGTTCTGTTTTGTAATTATTCTATTCTAAAATAGTGACTTTCAAATCCTCCACAGAGTGACCTGGTGGACTGAAATGCTTGGAGACAGGTTTCTGTGTATTGTTTTTTCTGATGTCAGATTTGTGATGAAATGTAGACTGCAGAGGAACATTGTTGGCAAAAGATAGCATAGATTACATTAGCTGAGGAAGAAGTGAAGCTGTCTTTGATATTGTGTGGCATTGTTAGGTTCTGTAATTTTGTTTCCAGAATAGATGTGTGGACAGAGTTGGCATGTGGGTCTGTGGATTTAGTCACCCTTTCTGTGTTGCTGTGTAGGCAACAATACTAACCAGAGTGGAATGGGGGGAAACTTGGTTCTTCCTACCAACTCCTCCAGAAATCTGAGATGATTGTAGTATGGGAAAGTAGCATGAGTGCAAAATTTGAAAAATGGTGGGATAATTTATACTCTCCGTTCTCTCCTATAAGATCCCACTATGAAGCAATGTGAGATGAGTTGCTTATCAATAGTGTGGTTAAATGTGAGATGAGTTGCTTATCAATAGTGTGATTAAAGGAAATTATTAACACTTCTATACAGAAAGATGTCACTTTTTTCTCTTATCTAGTTCTAAGACATTGATTAAATGAAACTAAGTTTCAAGCAGCTGTGGCCCAGCCTCAAATATATCATTCTTAGCTAAGGTGATTGAGAAGGTGGTAGCACTACAGTTCCACACACTTCTGATCACTCTAGTTATCTAGAACCATTTATTTCAAGCAGGATATGAGACTCAGACTGATTTTGCTTGCCTTCATAGAAGATCTACAGCAAGGACTGGACATGGGCAGCCCCACTAATATTCTTGGACTTCTTGGCAACTTCCAGTACTAACTCTTCTGGATTGCTTGACTAAATAGGGCATTGGGGGCACTGTATAGCTGTTCTGTCAGCCCCTCCTGTTGGGCCATACCCAGACGTTGATCCTGAGAGTTCACTATTTAACACCATCACACTTAGAATATGGCGTGGCACTAGATTCTATTCTAACCACCTCCACTCAGTATTTTGCATTTGATGAATGACCATGCTGGCTAAGGGAGTTGTAATCCAAAAACTAAACTTTCCAAGCACTAGTGTGTACTTACTTGGGAGAATGTGCAGAATATCAGTGAGACTGTAACCCTGAATGTTCATTCATTGAGTTTATATCCCCCTAAGGAGGGGGATCTGAGGTGGCTATAAAACTAATATGAGCACAGTTGCTAGATTTTGGGATGTGCACTTGAAGATATTTGCTGGCTGCTACAGCACTGGATTGAAATTTCGGCAGTCTAACATCAGTCAATCTGTCATGCGTAAAATGTTAGTTTTTATAAATGTTCATATCTCTATACAAAACAAAATAGTCTTGCGGTTGAAGGTATCATTTCAGACTTCTGAAGCAGGGATATAGAATAGTCAAAATGCCCCTTTCATACTATTAGCTCTACCATTACGTAAAGTGAACCAGTAGGACTGATACAATTCACATCAAACGGTTGTCTATCAAGCTCTCTTGAGGAATTCAGAAAACAGTTAATTTGAAAGCATGAGCCAGGGATGCTGACAAGTCTTTTGGTCTTGATACCAATTCTGAGTCTTTGGTATCAAGTTCTGAGTCCCAAGCCTCAAGTCCAAATCCCTATTAAAAACAGGTTTTTCACAAGTTGAGTCTGAATTTTTTTGGGGGGCGGGGGGAGAGTTGAGTTTGAGTTGAGTCACCAGTGTGACTTAAGTCCAACTTGGCAGCAAGTCTCATGACTCAAGTTCCCATCCTTGACATTAGCAAGGTAAGAGTTTCAGCCCCACCCTTTTTCACTGTCTCCATGGACAGAGGGGCTGTCCACAAAGTAAAGCTTCTGCTACCCATGAAGCTCTGCAGGTTGGAAACCCTGATGAGAGACGTCATGTATAGTAGATGTTTTCCTCTTCAGCAAATTCCCTGGGGACAGTGACAGAAAAGGAGGGGAGGGCTAGGATTCACTCCCTGCTCTTGTTTTCTAATTAACTCTTCTTCGTATTACATTTGGGCTGGTTTTCTAGTATCTGGCTCTTGTTTTCTAATTAACTCTTCTTCGTAAAAAAAGATATATATACCTGAACAGGGCTTCAAAACTGGTCAGTTTTCTCCAAATGTACACCAATAGTTTCAGATACTAGAAATAATGTAATTATTGTCCATATCCAAAAAATGCCACATCATGCAAGACACACCTGATCTTGCCTTAAGCCAGAAGTTAAACAGAGATATTAGACCTGGTTAGTACTTGGATGGGAAATCATGAGAGTAAAATCAGGGATTTCCAGGTAACGCTAGAAAAGAATCCTGTCTGAAACCCTGGAGAGATGCTGCCAGTCAGAGTTGAGCTAAACAGACCAGTGGCCTGTTGCTAAATAAGGCTGCTTCCTACTTTCCTCCCCGGAGCATATAAAGCTGTTGATATACTCACAGCCTAGCCCATTCACTATCTGCATGAATTACCTTTTTAAATATGTGTACGGATCTTGTGGTATCTTAAAGACTCACAGGTTGTCAGAAGGTTTTGTAGACTGCACTCTGCATGTGATAACATCATCTGCAGTTGATGAAACTTTTTGTCTGATACCACAAGATTCTGTTATTTTTCCCAACAAGTTAGGATGACTATCCTGCCCCCAAATTCAAATATGCACATACCACCATTGTGATTGTTGTAATTACAAGGGCCAGATAATGACATTTTGCTTCCACAAAATGCTTACAATTGACAAAACCTAACTGGCCCATGGAGAGTTATCAGTTTCATATAAATGGAGCTACTGGCATCCAAAATTCCCCAGTGTCCTATATGTGAGGATTACAGAAAATAATGGCCTGGTTCTTTGTAAAACCTCAGTCATCAAAGTGCTCCATGTTTTAAGAGAACTAAGCTGATTTCTAAAAATCATGCAAAACATAATTTGTCAAACCACTGGAACACCCAACTGTAAGGACCTCCAGCACTACTCTACTCTGTAAGATGGGGTGGACTAATAGTGGCCTTCCGATGGTGTTGGACTGCAGCTGTTAATGGCCTGGTTCTTTGTAAAACCTCAGTCATCAAAGTGCTCCATGTTTTAAGAGAACTAAGCTGATTTCTAAAAATCATGCAAAACATAATTTGTCA